CGATTTTTATGGAACCTGAAATCAGAATGGAGTCTTGGTGGGAAGATTTTTATGAAGCATGGAATTGGGGATTTTTGCGTGGAGTAGTGGTGAAGAGAGATAGAGAAAGAAAGAAAGAGATGAACTGATTTTATGGAAGTGGTGTTAATGGAGATTTGAAATACGAAAATTAGGGAAACCCGCCATAGTAACTGTAGATAAACCATATAATTATTTTCGATAATTACAACATTTAAATTTTAATAAATAAAAAAAATACCTGAAGTTTGAATAAAAAACTTCCCACGCTGATTTTTGCACTGGTATTTTTAAAAACCTGGATTTATATAATTTCCTCTTTATATATACCAGCTAGAGCGTCATTCCTGGCAGATTTTTTCATTCCCTTTCTCGCGTCTCTAGAAGCTTCGGCTAGTCCTGTGCTTTGAGTTCTTTGTGATCTTTTCTCCCTTTCTTAGTGAATCTTGGGTGGGATTTTAATTACTGGTTTTAATCTTTTTTGATAATTTTGGTGATTAGTTGCCTTTGTAGTTGTTTGTGCGAGAGAGGGGCAGTTCGGTTTTGGCCGTGAGTTTGTCTTCGAGCCATTAGTAACCTTGTGTGGTTTAAATTAGGGGTTTTGGGTGTTTGTGGCTGTTGCTTTGTACAGCAGGGCGCAATGAATTTCTGAGCCCAAAATGAAATCAGAATTCTGATCGAGTATAGTGNTGGGTGTTTGTGGCTGTTGCTTTGTACAGAAGGGTGTAATAATTTGTTCTGAGCCCAAATGCAATAAGAATCCGTTTCTTGCTTTGTGCGATATTGTGCTGTTAATTTCTGATTTGTGCTTCCGTTGTTCATATTTTTCCTTACAAGAAGGAATGCCATTTATTCATCCGATCCTCTTACTCAAAGCCCCCGTCTGTTCTCATGCCCATGTCAGAAATTTTGATGAATAATTGGAAACCTAATCCTTTCTACGAGTTACAGGATGGTGCAAGCAGAGACATTACTTCATTCTCCTTTTTCTTTATCCAGGTTTTTTCATCTTGGTCATCTTTTTTCTTATTCTAAGCCCTGCAATGTCAATCCGGGATATTTACCAGTATCTGTGTCGTGTCATGTCTAGCTGGCCTACTGATGAATCCATATAATGTTGGATCTAAATAACTCATAATGATCAATAAATCAGTATAAATCCTTCACCACAACTCAGAACTTAGTTCCCATATATGCATTGAACACTTGAAATGCTCAAAAGATAATCTTCGCTCGTGAATCTTCCAATCACTAGCTGGAAAAGACTAAAAATTAATTAAATCCTTGCACAAATTAATAGATAAAAATCAGATTATACCAGTGTTCATAGCTGCTGAAGAAAGTAGTTCAATTATCAGGTCAAACGACAAAAGCCAGTTTCATATTATTTTAACACTATATCTTACAAGCATTCAGAGATCACAAGCAGGATACATTCAATACTGATGAACGAAATAGCTTAATAATCAAGTCAAACAGAAAGAGAGAAATATTTCTGCATTATGTCACAGTTTACACTTTGCAACCTCTGATTGGAGAAATATTTACATATTCATTACAGCTCAATTTTATAACAAAGAATAAAAAAAAAATCTTGCAACCAGTTTTTTTTCCAGAAAAAACACCGCAGATTAACTTACCATATTCCACATCCTCCAATACTGATGACAGCAGCAACAATCGGACAACCATACATAAAATTAAAGAACAGCGTCACTAATCAGACACAAAACTATTGGAGTGTAAAAAGGTGAGAAAATATCTTATCCATGCATACAAGTCTACCTTCTCAACTGTTTTCGCATTCCACCAATCTTTGTAGAACTCACGATCACCAAACCGAAGAAATTCCGCAAGTATATTCAGCCTATATCACAGCACTGTGTGTAAGTAAGATCAGAGTAATGTAATTAACAGATAAATATAGTTCTCATTTTCACAGAGGCGCTTAAAAAATCAGAATATACTCATTCTGCTGGGAAGAACCAAATACCTTTAGAAGAAAATTTGAATACTCAAAAAGCATTTTAGAAATAGTTATTTACCCCAGATCAAGGTAACAATATGAGCTACTTTCCTTATCTTAGTTAATACAGACGGTTACTGAACAAAATGCAGATATTTCTACAACCCAAACACAGTTTCACAACCCCTCTACTTGGGTCATTTTGCTTGGTCTTGCAGTACCATTGCTAACAACAGCAGAACAGATAAATTTCAAATATCCATTAACATACAAATTTTAAAAACTGATCATGGTAAAGTAAAATATATTCACTTACTAGCAACTGTGATTCAAAAATGAGATCAACTATTGTCCAATGAATAGGAAAAGGCTGTGAAGAAAATTATGTAATTTAAAAATGATTTCTCTCTTAGCTATTAAACATTTTTCAGAAATGTTGGCCACAAATTTTCATAAAACTCTGCCATTAGAACAGAAGTTATCTTCCATTTGGAGTACCTATTTGTTTTCCATCTTTGCTTTTCCTTATCTAGTCTAGCAACACATTAATCTCGACTCTTTTTTCTTTTAGGTAACCTTTAATCCCTGCACTTGTTCCATTTGCTGAGCTCTGAGTTCCTCTGGGAATTCATGATGTGTGCTCTTGTTGACCAGTTTCACTTTTGGTACAACCTCTTTGGTAATGAATTGGCTAAATTGCCCCAATTGATGTTTACTTGACCAGTTTCACTTTTTTGTTCAAATTATATGTTAAATATTTAAGTCTTTGCATTTAATTTTCCTATGTAATCATATAATTTCTTACAAAAAAAAGTTAATATTTTAAATATATTTTAACTGATGTTGTCTAATCCATGTCGTGTCCCATTTTTTCCAAGAATCATCATGTCCAGTCACCATGTAGTGGTGTTCAGTACAACATAGCAACACGCTGAATGCTTGGACATCCACGATAGGCAACAATCTTGTTCCCGAATTGCCCAAAGTTTGTCTGGTTTACCTTAAATGCAATTTCCTAACTATAGATAACATCATACCAACAAATATCGTGGTATCCTAATGAACAAACTTCCAAAGCAAGACAGGCAAAGAGCCATATGCATGTATATCATTGTTACAGTAATGAGTTTCTAACTTTGAAATAAGTGTCAGGTGTTTGAAACAAAAAGAAGCAAGTTTCATTAGGCAAATGACAAACACAATAAAGAAAAAAAATGTGTATTCCAATTTTGAGGAAGAAAGGACATACCAAAGATGGAAAAGACAATAAAACATGCAGAGCCACACATATAAATTTGGAACTGAAAGCTTCAAGACTCTTTCAATGGTATACAAAAGGTTTCCTTTCAAAGGATGCTGAGAATTCCGCACAATTGGGTTTATATACTGCACAATGAAATGAGCTATATCAGTCGAGTTTGCATTGAAATAGAGAAAACCATTTTGTGAGTTGATTTTATATGAAAAAGCAGATCACCTGTTCTACAATAAATTCCATGAATCCTGTAAATATTACCAACATAATGAATTGACGTACCACCCAACCCTTCTGTACGGGGATAGCTTGGCTAAAAATAGCAATTCTTAGGTGATAAGAGAAAATATTTAGCATGGCAGAATAAAGCAAGCGTAGCAGAATTAGTGAGTTCAAATAAACACCTTTTTATATCAATCAAATGCACAAAAACAGACCAAAAATAGCAAGAAATTCAGGTACAGGGCTACTGAGAAGAATTTACTTCTCACTCCAGAGAATATATGCAACAATTAAATTTACCTAACAATAAATATTGTACATTATTTGAATAGCATAAAAAATAGGAAAGGTAAAACAAGTCAAGTTTTGGGGAATTTCAACCATCCCCATTGCCCAGTGGTATCTAGTGTAAGATTGGCAGTGTTCAATGAACGTTTCAAGCATTCATATTGCTTGATGGTATTTAACTACAAGTCTATGTAACTTCATGTTTATTTGCAGACTCAGAAAAACAGGTAAATAGCTATTTTATGAAGTCTCTAGAGAAGCTGTAAGTATTCATGAATTTGTCTCTAGAGAAGCTGCAAGTATTCATGAAGTTGTATAAAATTTTCACATTGATAATTAAATTCTTCAGCAATGCGTACCTGGTAACACAATGTGGGAGCAACCATGAAGTATATCAAACTCTTAAAGCTATCACCATGAGAGTCATCCGTGTTCCAATAACTAGACAATGCTTCACTCTGGCAGCTCAAAAGAAAGTTCTATAAAACAAACTACAATGATCTGAATTGAATTGATTAAAAAGGCAATCGTTGAGAATCGTTATTCATCAATTATTACATGTGTACTTTTACGAGAGAGAAATATAAATGCATATATGGATTGTATTTATTAAAATATGAGAGAGGGTAAGAGAAATGCATATATGGGTCATAATTCTTCTATATAAATAGCAGCTGAAGATATGGAACGACTAGTATCTCAACAAAAACAATGGAAATAGACAAATTTAGCGTCACATCCACTTTTCCTACTCATTTTAACACAAAGAAAAGTATTGACTGAGAATAAAGCACAAGGGAAGATGAACAGAAACCATCAGAACATTTTAAGAAATATAGCTTGACCACCAAATGCTCCTTTATCTTCGTTTGACTCGTTCAGCCAAACATATAAAGGAGAAAATGTAAAAATAATTTTATGAGAAAAGGACTACAGTTTTCTCATTACCTTATCAAGTGATTTGGCTAGTTCTCTGACATCGTAACTTGAATGAGCATAAGACTCCAACTTAAACCACACAATGCAAGCAAAGAGCATTAATGTGACACCCGACAGAACAGCAGAATCACACCTGTGCAATCCCAAACCAGTGAGTATCATATCATAGTTGGAACTAAACATTGCTTAAAATAGATAGGTCCTACTGCTATTTTTTGGTTGGTGAATTGCTCAAGGATTCCTACCTATTATGAGTTTCCAATAAAATCATAACCTACTTCACTAAAGAGACCCACCAACCAAACTAAACGATTAAATTCCCTTTAATGTAAAGAGAAGCTGTTATTTAACTTAAGAAGAACCGCTCGGTTCAGTTCGGGTCCGGTTCGATCAGATTCGGTTCGGGAGTTTTGTCCAGCCCTAGCTCCATCCAATCTCATGTTGCCTCTTGGCGCATTAAATCTAACATAGTGAACTTAATGCTGGGCACCTCGACGCTGCTGTTATATATTTCAAATCTACCATCCACTTTTCACCATATGCTTGCGAAGAGTTCAATATGTAGACATCATATTTTTGCAAATTTTTATTACTATGTTTAAAATTCAAATTTTGAATTTAAATATATAAGTGTCTCTCCATTGTCGAGGATAAAATTCTTCACCAGACAAAAAGAAATAAATAAGTGTGATGAACAGCTTTCGAGATGCAGATTCTGATTTAAAGAAGTCGATGACAAACCTAAGAATAACCAAAACTGGATACAAGATAGCAGCTGTTGTTATTATAATGTGAAGAAAGACAGCGACCTGCAATGCAAAAGTAAATTTAGATTTTATTCCCACAGACTATTAAGTAACAACTGATCATAAGAAAGAGCTCAACGTGCATAGTTTAGGAAAAACCAAATTGCATGACAACTGGAAATTTAATCACTAATTTGAACTGCCAGTGCAAATAATATAGAGCATGACAACAAATGAAAACTCACCATAAATCATTCAGGCAATGTGATATAACTTTATGACAAGATGTCTAATTTATATCTACTCAAGGAACAGATTCCTATGCCAATTTTAGTGAGATGTAAATGTAATTTTTCACTTATTCAGTCATCAAAAGTGGACATTTGGGAGTAATTTCATCGAATTGATGCTTAATTTTGTTTGCATATTATTTTTTTAAAGAAAAATTCGATGTTTTATGGAGAAAAAGAAGTCGATATCGAATACAAAAGAATAAAAAGGAGCATACGTGGAAGATGGGCACTAACATGCAAAGAATTGAAAGATGCAAGACCATCAATGCGATTTAGGAAGGACTTGACATGAACTACAAGGGAAATTCGTGGACTGATTTGAAATGAAAGCGAAAGTGTGAAGTTTGCGATCGCAAGGGTGGGCAAGTTTCAAGATGTAGACCAACAAGACGATCACGCCATGCGGCTCACAAGACTATGCGATCGACAGCAAAAAAAAAAAAAAAATTCCTAATTTAAGTTGGACTCTTAATAGAAAGCAAAGAGTGTTCGGTTTTAACCTAATTTGGGAGGCCAATTACATTGTTCTTCATCTAGCAACAAGGAAAATAGAAAATTATTTACAGCAAAACATACAGAAACATGTACGTTTTTTCAAGATTCTTGAAAGGATTGGGATTTTTTGGAGACTCCATTAAAGACGTTCAGGGGGGGCAAAAATTCATACGTAATTCGATATTCCGGGTAATGAACTATCAATATATTATATGTTTTTGCAATATGAACATGAT